TGTTATTCTGTTTGTTTTGAATTCTTCCGTCTTGTTATTCTGTTATATAGATGGGTTTTTAAAAAATGAATAAAAGTTTAACAAGGCAATATCTCTCCTTTGCATTAATGAAATGCACACTCTCTCTCAGAGTCAGAAGAGCATGTTGAAACACAGTTAAATGTTGGTTAAGTATTTAGGCATTAAAAGAAAAAAAGTCATATATAATGTTTTTAAAAGAGAAAAATGTTAATTCTTACCTAAAGCTAAGAAACCTGGAGGAGAATCCAGATCCCAATCCTGAGTGAAATTCTAGGGACAATGTTCAGGCCAGATGACACAACAACATAATCTTTAGGGTCTATGAATCCATGATATAGCCTAGTAAGGCAGAGCATTTTGGACTGTCTGTTAATCAAAACTGCAAGAGATACAGAAAAGTGTAAGTCTGTTATTCATAATATATGCCTATGGTATGGGACTAATGTTAATGCTGGTTATTGCCAGATATGATGCAAGCAACGCGAGGCATGGCCAGAGTTTGTGCAAGTCAATGGACAGTCTCACTGACCTCAAAGCGTTTTGGATTGGTCTCAAAATGGGTGAACTTCCTTTCCTAGAGCCAGACTGAAAGCCCAGATAGAAGCAAGAGTCAGTGGCAGACCAATGGGGGGCGGGGGGAGGGCTTCAGAGTTTTTGTTGCATGATATAACTAAGTATTGCTACGAGAAGGATTGGGTGGGATGCAAATGCAAACATTGGCCCCCGGGTGCCCGGACACCCACGATACGTCACTGGAGAGATTGCTCTTGTATCATTCCAGCCCTCACTTCTGTTAGCATGCCCTTAACCCAGCCTGCATCTCCCTTGAGATGAGGATGCCCAATTCACTGTCCTTTCTGACCTAACCTAGGATTCAAACTGAGGCTTCCAAAGCAGAAAGAGTGCAACCTCACCAATTAACATCTCAGGCACACGTCTAAGCAATTCTAGACAGTACCACTACTGACATCCAACATGCAGGAAATATAAAACTATTACATCAAAGCAAGAGCAGCACAATAATTTTCCAAGCATATGTCATATCTCTAAAATAAATAAATTCAGACGAACATACTGTACTTGCTTTGGGAGCTGAAAACACAGTTGAACCTCATTTTCTTCAAAATTTGACGGCAATTTGGAGTGCCTTTTTCAAACTCAGCTCCATTCTTCTGGAGACCCATGTCAAGCATGTCAAATCTTTTAAAAGTACCACTAAATAATTGTTCCATTTCCAGAACATGGAATTAAAAAAAAAAGACTGTGTCCACCTAAAAACCCCCTAAAGCCTCATTTTACTATTGCTGTCTCTTAATGGTTCCAAGACGTAGCTTGCTAAGGAGATGAAAGCACAGATTGAATATCAGGCTCTATGGGCTATATGCAAAATAATTAGCCATCACACAACTGGCATTGTATGAGCCCTCTGTCAAAGGTTTGGACATTCTGGTGTGGTTGTCTACCACAAGGGATACTTATCAAATAACCTTGAAGAAGAAATGCCAGCTCCAACTCTTTGTCTCACTCAGCCCACCTCACAGAAACAGAATCATTCTCTCTCTCTCAAGGTAGACCTGATAAAACAAGGGATGTTCTTAAACTGCCACATTGCCTGCTTTTAGTATTGCAAGGTGATCAGATATGATTCGGATGTAAGTGCAGTATGTCTTCAGAGAAAAAATGAATGTCAACTGATTTCCTTCTCCACCACTTCTTAATAATATCCTAATACCCTGGTGCCCTGCACATTCCTAGGGGCTGAATGGCCAAGAAGTTCAGTTCATGCCTCCAGAGACACAAGTTAAAGGTCTACTCTGGACTCATGCTGAAGGCTGTCTCCAGTCAACTGAACTGCAAACAGGCAGCTTGCCTTCAAGCTGAGGAGTCAAAGGCAGTGACATGTGTGCCACTGGCTACAGATGTTGGTGTTGTTAACTACTCACCCATGGGCTGCTATGGCTGAGCAAGCCTTTGACTTTGTCATGAACTTTGTACAGCACTGTTGCTGTTTTACAAATTCTGCTATTAACAATTACACTATTGCAATTAGCACTAAGACTCTGCAACTGGAAAGAAAGACTTTCAGGAAACCATTTTGCACATGTAAAACAGAACTGCAGATGAGTAAATGCATGGCGGATGAGATCATCAGTGGCAAACCACCTTCTCTCTTCATGTTGCCCAGGCACATTGCATTAGCCTCTATCATCACCAGCTCTGCTTCCTCCTAGCTGCATTTGCTTTCAAGTGCATACAAGTATGCAGATAGTTTTCTAGATCAGGTTTCTCTCTCCTCTAGAAAAGCATAGTGAAAAGACACTGACCAGTTCCCGTTCATTTAGGGTTTGTCTACACTGCTTCTTTGCTGTGCCTGGAAACACTGCTATGAAGCACGCCCCACCATCTCCCTCCTGCTCAGAACATGAAATCCCAGAAACGGAGATAACGCAGCTCCCTAGGCATGTGTCAGTAAGCCTGCTCAGGGCAGCGAGTTCTGGGGGTATGCTCAGAGCTGCTGGAAGACAACTAGGGATTTAGTGTGTGCACAGAGGGGACAGGCCATGGTTAGCAGCAGCCAGCCCAGCAGAACAGCAGTGTAGACATACCCTTAAAAGTCAAGACTAAAAGTGTTAACTACAGCAGAAGTCTGAACACTTCATAGCCTGAGGAGCTTGTTAGATCACTCAAGCACCCCCAGTTTACAAACATATTCCTTAATGCATCAGAGGGGGAAAATCAGTACCAAAATACCTCAGTTCCTCTGTTCTCACACAATATTTCCAAGACCTTGTATCCCAAAGTGTCATTTTCACCAGCTATTTTTATCTAACTTTTGACTGGCTATACAGCTATATTAAGCTTTCAATTCTAAAAACCCGGGTAATCAACCACACCCTGCAGAGCCGAGCGTGATCACTGCTGAGATCAGAAAAACTTGGCTTTCCGCTCCCCAGTCAGCCCTGCACAGTTTGCAGGTTTTGGAAGAGCCCAAGAACAATTCCTGTCTATTGGCAAGGAGATGGGGTTTTCATATGGTTGCCATTCCCCCCCCATCAGAGTGTGTTTCAGTGTCTCCATTTCTTCAGGTCAAAAAAAAAGAAAGACATAATTTAACATACAAGTTTCCCTTACTAAGGCTTGGTCTCTCAGTCTTCAGCCCTAAATGCTTGTACCTAGGGTTGCCAACTCTGAATCTATTCCAGGTTTCCAAAACGTCAGCGTGCCCACAACACACAACCTCAACATGCCTGCATGCCTTTGTATATCAGTTACGGCTTACAGTGTGTAGACGTTACATCAGGAAGGCAAACACACATCACTATTACATTTTAAAAACTCACTAGACTACTGTATAAATTGAATTCAACATTTAATATTTTAATGCATACCCTATTATGTCCTGGGTGACTCCCAGAAGTCTCCTGGACATTTAAATCTAGTTTCTGGAGACTCCAGGGCAATCCTGGAGGATTGGCAAGCCTATTTGTACCAGGACTCCTCTTCTTCAAGGATTTTGTAGTCTGTCTGGCTCAGGACTCCACACACTGTTCCTCTGCCCTCAGCCACCAGATCAGCCACCTCTTCTTTCAGCTCCATTGTACATCTGGGCCCTGGAGAGGCAATCTGTAGCAGCCTATCTTCCCATCATCTCTCCCTGCCTAAACAACAGACTGCCTTTTACATATCCCACCTGTCCCTCAACCCTCCCTTACTCCAGAAGGCTTGTCAATCTTCTCTCCTCTTGAAACAACAACATCTCATAATTCAGGGGGACTGATACTCCAGCCTTAAACAGAGTGGAGGATTCATAAGTAAAACTGGTCAGAAAGCAACTTATTTTCACAACAGATTTTGAAAGGAAATATTTTAGCAGAGATGTTCTGGTATTTTATTGAGAAACTGAAGATTTTTCAACTTGCCTTTTTACATCTGTTTCAGAATCGCCAACATTTTTGCTCCTTTTTGCAGGTGAGCAGGTGGTATCCACACTTTGCTCCATATAATAGACACATATAGTACAAGGCCAAAATTAACCCCTTCCTATGGTTTGTGTCCATAGGTAGGTCAAACAACAACAGTACATGATCTTCTATCTGAGCTTTCTCCCTAAGCTAACCCGCTGATTGAAATTCCACCAAGACCTCCTTGTCTCCACGTCTTAATTCCCTCTAACAAGAAGGCCATGCCATCTCTCTCATGTCCTAGTGGATATAGAAACTTACTCAGCCTGTCTGTCCAATGCCATAATTCTTACTAACAGTGTGTGTCAGTGGGTAAAACCTGCATTCCTATGCAGGGTCAGACAACTGCCAAGTTAATTTTCTCTGAATTTAGCTGCAGATTTCAGTGACCTTTACAAAACAAGTCAAGAGTGTTATTTCTGTGTTGGGACTGAGTGATATGTACAATGTTTTTTCTGATCAATATTTCTCTCTCTTTTCCTTTCCGTCCTCTCCAACACACCTTAAAATGCAGCTGAACTGATTTTGCTCAACCTTTCCAGAACCATTCACTTGTGTCTGAGAGAGGCAAGCATGGAACATTTGAACCCAAAAGCAACTAGTTTGACAAAGGCATGAGCAACTGAAAAGGTGGGTTGAAACAGAAGCTAGATTTCAACTGAATTATAACATGGACTAACCATTCTCTCTGTAAGGGCCTTGTTACACATCACAGTGTGAGCTGCTCAAATGTTGATCAGTGTTAGTACTAGCTCAAGTTTGAAGCAGGGACCTGGAGGACTGAAGGGTAAGAATCCCCCCTTCCCACTCTGGGCTTCCCACTTCCCCCTGGGGCTCCCCCCAGTTCCCCACCCCCACTATTGCTTGTGGCTCCCTGCACTGTCTGTGCAGGGAAGCAGGCAGGAAGGGGTTAACCTGCCTGCCCAGCTCCCACTGCCACCCTGCTGCTCTCCTCCAGGCTGAGTCCATCCCAGAGAGCAGCAGTGTTGGCAGCAGCCTGGCAAGCAGGTTAACCCTTCCCTGCCTGCTTTCCCAGGACAGACAGCACAGGCAGTCAAGTAAATGGGGTGGGGGGCAGCAAGCAGAGACCTGGGGTGCTGGGGAAAGGAGAGGGGGCAGTGGGCCCAATCTGGGCTGGCAGGGAATGGGAGTAGGTATTTACACTAAAGTGTAGCCTAGAGTGGTTATGCTTTAAGGTAAAAGATCAAAGAAAACTTAGGTTGGAGTGTCATAACTTTAAGTCACCTCGGGCACTTTTACATGCGTGTCAGGGGTGGGGAGAGGAGGGCACGTTAATTAGAGTGGCTCCAAGAGCTACTGTAATTAAAGTCCTGCAGCATCTCATGTGTCAGCATCCCCACCCTTAAAAATGGCACTGGGGGCACTTGAACTAAAGCTTGTTCAATGAGCTTTTGTTCAAGCACCCCCACCACCATTTTTAAGCCTGGGGACACTGATACATGAGACATGGGAGGCTGCTTGAGTGTGGTGAGTAGATTACACATTACACAATTTAATGTCGAGTCTAGAGTGGCTATACCTTAGTGTAACACAAGCAGGGTATCACGGATCAGAGATAAACCTAGGCTGGAGTGTCATAACTAAGCCACCTAAGGCACTTTTCAAAGCAGAGTTGATTAACTGAGTCTGTTCCGACGTGCTGTGATTACAACATATCGGAGCAGCGTCCGCACTTGGGTACAGGCAACCCTAAGAGCTTAAGATTAGTTTCAGGTGTTAATATGTGGACAATCCTGGGATTAGGAGCTCAAGGAGCTGCCTAAAATTAACATGCAACAAGGCCATCACTCAGACTTTTATTTATTGCAGGTTCTTTACAGTTTCAACAACTCCAGCCATCTGGCCTTCTTCAGGAAGATGATAAAAACATCAGTCTGTTTAAAAGTAGTTTTTCAATGAAATCGTATGTTAGTTACTGCAACATATTGTCTCCAAAACCCAAATGAATGATGCTAAGAGGGAAATCAGAGGAGCTAAAAAAACAACTATATGGTAAGTAGAGAGGGGCTGGGAGGAGAAACGAAGACCCACTGAGCCATCCTCTAGCTAGCCTGATATTGTATCTCAGATAATGAGCATGACTCAAGTTTCAGAGGTCTTTGGAAAAGGCAAGCTGTTTCACTCAGTTCAGGGAATATACACATGCACATTAATGAAGAGTAAAGTGGCAGGAGAATGGCATATTAACTAAACAGTTTTATAGGAGGAAAGGGGCTGAGAACTGGATATAATGGTTTAAAACTTCACAGCGATGTTTTTAGTTAGCAAGGTCTCCCAATTAAACTCTGTATGGTATCTCCCTCAAATGCCTGGAAAAAAGCCCCCACATGCACTTGAGTTTGTCCAAACTGTGCCAGGCCACTTACTGCCAACAATAAATAAATGTTTACATTTACCTAAGACTGCAATAGTCTATCACAACAATTTCAAAGCAATTATTTCCTTGTGCAAAAATGTTTTCAATGACAAGTCAAGACATTTATTGGAATTCTGGTTACAGGGGATTTCTGTTGTTTATGGAGGACAGGAAGAAACCACTCATGACTCTTTAAACTTTAGACATTTGTTATAGTGCCATAAAACCCAATTTTGCTTACATGGCCAAAGCCAAATAAGATAGTTTCATAGTTTCGTAGTTTCTAGGGTCGGAAGGGACCTGAGCAGATCATCTAGTCCGACCCCCTGCCATGGCAGGAAAGAGCACTGGGGTCAAACGACCCCAGCAAGGTGTTCATCTAACCTCCTCTTAAAAACCCCCAGGGTAGGAGCCTGCACCACCTCTCTTGGAAGTTGGTTCCAGACCCTAGCCGCCCTGACCATGAAATAGCGCCTCCTGATGTCCAACCTAAACCTACCCTCTGCCAGCTTGTGACCGTTATTCCTGGTCACTCCTGGAGGTGCTTGGGAGTGACTCCCCCAATGCCTGCTGATCCCCCCTGACTAGTTTATAACAGGCCACTAGATCCCCCCTCAGCCTTCTCTTGTGGAGGCTGAACAGGTTCAGGTCCCGTAGCCTCTCCTCGTAGGGCCTGCCCTGCTGTCCCCTGATCATGC